TTTGGTTGGTCCATTTGGAAGCAAGTTCACTTGGTAATTTTCTGTTCTTATGAAGTTATTGCTTGAAGAATAATCGACCTTCGAAGATGCAAGAATTGTATCATTTTGATTTGGTCCTTCAAGTGTAGAGTCTATCAATCCAATCTTTGGTGGTAATGGCGGATGAATAATTGTGGAAGGGATTGGAGGAGGTGGCCTTTGTCTAATTCTCATTGGGATTTCAGGAGCATTCCAGAAATAATGTTCAACCCCAATATTTGATCTGTCACCTTCTTTTTGATCTATGTTATGGACATGAAATTTATGAAGGTAATTTAAAGCATTAATCCCATTTTCATGGTAATATGTTCTTATAACTTTCTTCCATTTTTCTAAACCACCTAGTAAGCTTGTTGGGAAAGTCTTCAGAACTGATGTTCTTGAAGATGTAAGTAAATAAAACAAAGTAAAATTATAATCAAAATTGATCTTCATATAAGTCTTTAAATCTGTATAATAAACAACATATGCAAACGATTTTCTAATATTGAACAACTGATCGTTTAGTATCTTTTCCAATTTTGTATCTTCTGAAATTGGGCAATTATTTTCAAAATCCCATAATACATTTGGATCTATATTTATTGTATTCTTTGCGACAATGTAATTTGATTTAGTACGTTCAGGCAATCCTAAGTATATTAAAAGAATATCATCCTTCGTTGTAGGATCGGATAATATCGAAAATAATTCTGGACATGTAATTACATTTTGCTTTTGTAATCTTTCCAATGTTTGAATGTAATTATTAGCTTCATCGTTTTTCCGAACATATCCTGCAGAGTTATCATTATCCATGTATACAGAATGATAACTATCCTTCCTATGAGTTTCGGATCTATCAACTGGGTATATTTTTTGAATTTTTTTATCATGATTAAAGTCTGTTACCTTCACTGGAAGAGGAATCTGATGTGGTAGTGGAATAGTAAAATTATTATATTTGTCATCAATCAAATTGTGCTGTGTTTTGTCACTTAGTTGTTCATCCAGAGTTAACTCTGGTTGTTCCAAAGCTAATTTCAATTGGTCATTTGGATTTAAAGATGGGGCTGTCCATAATGGAGTGGAATCATCTAATTCCATTGGTAATGAATCGTAAGGTTTAGCCATAGATAATGGACGTTGTGTGGTTGATGATTTCCTCTCCCGAATTGGGAACTCTATTGTATTATAATCCTTTGGAGTATCATCTTTAACAGAAAACGCTCTGCCTCTTGGGATAACTCTTTTTGTAGGTTCTGGTTCTTGATACGATTTATCCAAGATTGAATCCACCTCATTTCTCACCATCGAACAAACATTAGTCATATTGGCCTCGTTTTGATATAAAATCTTCCAATCATTGTACATACTATAAGATTTATTTTTCGTTTGAAACTGTGTAGATTGTGGTATAATCAAATACAAATAATAGCAACCCACAATATATGCAGATAAAGCATCATCATACCTTCCAGATGGTAAGAAATGATGAAAGGCCTCCAGTAGATATGCCGTATGCTCCAGCAAATCTATCAGTTTAGATAATCTCAACTGCGGTAGCAGTGGTTTAATATCATTTTGGTAAATATCTTGAACCCTTTCTTGCAACTCAGTTGAATACTCAGGGGTAAAAGTACTGCTGAAATCAGTCTGTATCACCATCACTAACTCATAGAAATAAAATCAATCAAGTTCAAACGAAAACAAAGGTTCAAACCAAAAACACAGAACTGCAATACAGGCGAAATAATACGCTTAGCAATATGCAAAATAAGAATAACTTTGATTCAGCAAATACTAATAACAACTAAAAAAAAGATTATTGCTATAATATTTTTTTAGATTCTATGATCTTTTGAATACCTAAATAGCAAAGACCAGATAAAACCAAAAAAGAACCAACCAACTGGACCAAATTCAAATTGATATCAAAACTTAATCAAATAAGTTAACCTGCTGTAAAGATCTATCAATAGTCCCAAATCTTCCTCCCTGCAAGAAACTTGAATCAAACTGAAGTATCTAAATGTTAAAGATCCATTCAATATCACATGAAGATGCCAATACTCTATACATTCAAGATTATAACCTACTTATGAGTTTTATGTAACTGTCTTGATCATCTCCTTTACATTTGTAGGCTTGGTTCGATCTTCGATCCTTTAGTCATTTCGAAAGATTTGATCCTAAAGGTACTTTCGGAAATCTTTCGAAATGGGCCGATTGCATCGATGTTGAGGCTTATCGAGTTTTCGCTGCAGATCGATGCAAGCAACGCTACAATGGGATTTGGCATTGTATGTGTTGATGGAGGCTTATGCTTGCAGAGGGAATGTCTAGATTGTTTGATTGTTTTGTTGCATGGTTGTTTAGTTGTTTGCTTTATTGCTTGGTATGGTCGAGACTTTAGATCTCTGGAACAAGAGGTACATCGCGATGTTTGTATTCAATGAGTTATTCTTGCAATGCCAGATGGTGCTTATTCCAACAAGTTACGTTGGATGGAGGTAGAAAGAGAGAAGGGAGGAGATGTGCCATTCTGAGCGATTTGATACTGGGGAGAAAAAGAGTGAGAAGGAGAGGACAAGGCAGTATGGTAAATGAGTGTGGGCATGTTGTATTCATTCATTCATTCATTCATTTAAAACAAGAGTTCTATGAAGGATGGTCTTTAACCTACTCCCAAACTGTATCTCTCCCCCTTACCCTCAGTCCATGTTGCAGTATGGTGTTTTCAAGTAATGGTTTAAGCTGGTATTAACAGACAGTTTGCTGTATTAGCAGAGCTAAACCTTCTTCATTCCTTCTTTCCTCAGGCAATCCTCTCCAGTCGTCCATCGTCTTCCCCCATTTCATGTAAAAAAGAAACGATGATACATTACGAAATGTGACAAAGTTCATCGTTACCCGACCGTTTATCACGTGATAATTTTTTTTGATAAAATCGATAAATATTGAGTATTATTCGTATAAAGTGCCTGAAAAATTCAATCTGATAAGGAATTTTGAAATATTTTAAAATGCGATGAGATACAATTTAACATGATTGATTCGAAGGGTTACGTTATTTCAGCATAGTGTAGATTCTACTTATGACTGGCCAACTTGTCCAAGACTTAGGCTAACTCAGGTGGTGTGTTGTGGTTTTGGTAGTTTGTTGCTGTTTGGTCCAGTACAGAAGACACCAGAGTTGAAATACAAATACAAATATATATTTGAATTATTGTAGAAAAAAATTAAAGTTCGAATAATATAAGATAAAATAAAATATAAGTTAGGGACCTGAAACATTTAGTGGTTTTTGACAAGTATATATTGGCAAGAGTAAGATAATCAAAAATTTTGACTTTCAGCTAGCATATTTTGATTTTTATTTGTGAATTTTGACAGGAGTCTGCTGACTTTGGAACTAAATACCCGTTTTTTAAAGTCAATTTATTTGGGAAACATTTTGCTTTTTTTTTTGTTTTCTATTGCATACCTCTATTATCGTTATAATTTATCAATATACAGATGGCTGTTAAGTCAAGAAGGTATCGTAATACAAAAAAAAGTGCTCCTGTGAATCATTTGGATGTCACGGAAAGTTTGGGTTACCAGACGCATAGGAAAAATTCAAGGAAGTCATGGTCAAAAGAAGATGATGAAATATTGAAAAGTCGTGTCGATAAATGTTTGCAAGATCTGGGGTATGTTAATGGTATAACTGATATTACCTCGATCCATGAATCTATAGAGTTATCTAAGAAGATCCCATGGGAATCTATCGCTCGAGATTTTGAACATCAAAATAGGAAGGCCAAAGACCTGAAGAAAAGGTGGTCTGGTTCTTTAGATCCAAACGTGAAGAAAGGTAAATGGACACCAGATGAAGATGCAAAGCTTCTGAAAGCATACGAAAAATACGGTTCTCATTGGTTAAGTATTTCTTTGGAAATCGAAGGTAGAACTGAAGACCAATGTGCAAAAAGATATATCGAAGTCTTAAGACCCGATAGTGAACAACGTTTAAGAGAATGGTCAAAGGCAGAAGATCTGTTACTGATTAGTAAAGTAAAATTATATGGTACTAAATGGAGAAAAATTTCCTCGGAAATGGAATCAAGACCAAGTTTAACTTGTAGGAATAGATGGAGAAAAATCATTACAATGGTTGTACGTGGTAAAGCAGACGAAAAAATTACAAAAGCGGTTAAAGAAAACAAAAATATAGATATAACAAATGGTAGAGTACGAGGAGGAGAAGAGGATGAAACACAGCAAAAGACTGAAACTAACACTGTAGCATCAACTCCAGGAAGTCTCTCACAGGTAGCGGGATATAATGATTATAAGAATAGCATACAAGTGGATGAACCTCTTGCAGACGCTTCAATCAACTTATTATCTCTAAGGCATTCACCTGCAGCTCTAACTCATTTATCATCGGTTTCTAACGCACAATCACCTGTGCCCATTGACGATATTAATACCCCACAAGGTCGTAACTCTATGGAGCCAGATGTTTTAAGAAATATACACAAAATAAAAAACATAAAAAATCGATACTCCAACAGGCCTTCTGCTTCGAGAGATACTGAATGGAAGTTTACCTTAAAAGATGGATCAGATCTTTCTTTATCAAATGGTACTATAAGCAGTTTAGACTTAGTGAAGGAATTAGTAGATCAAGCTAAAAAGTTTGATTTGAAGATATCAATCCATCAACATATTCATAATCATTATATTACTTCAAATGAAGCAAACCCTAGCCGTTCTAACGATACAACAATGTCTAAGGAGGCTTCTCAGGATATTTCTGAAAATCCAAATAATGGTAACAATTTTAGGGGAGAAATAGATTCTTATGGAAATGAATTTCTTTCTCAAAGTCCTAATTTCAATTCTTTTGATCTAGGAACATCACCTCAGCCAAACGGACAAAACACCGTATCAACTAATCATTTTGAAAATGTGTATGCTTCAAAATCCCCCCCATTTGCCAGCAGACCAGAATCAGCTAGTTCGAGAGGTTCAAGAAGTACACCTACTAGTGAAATTAGAGATTTAGGTCCAAATAGAATAAATCATTTCAATTTCCTACCTCTTTCGGTAAGACCCCAATTAGGATCATCAGACGCTACTAGAATGGCTTCTTTAACTAAACTTCTTAATCCAAGTTCTGATAGTAGCATCGACAAAAGAAGGAAAAGATCTAATCCATTAAGGAAATCAGTAAGTTATCAGAACGATCATATAACGTATAACAATCCTGCTTATAATTCCAACACAACTAATTCTGAAAGATCAAGCGATACTCCTATTAAGAATGAATCTGTTGATGAAGAAGAGGATCTTAATTATTGGGAATCATTACGTACATTAGCTGGTAAACCTGCATCTGAAACATCAGATAGAGATTATAATGAATCTAAAGAAGATGAAGCTGAAGAAGATTATGGAATATTCTTCGATATTTTTGAGAATAGAAATAAAGCGGAGACACCAAAAGAAGAAGTTAAAAATGAAAAGTAATTCAATCAATTATAAAATTTTGAAAAGAGAAATTCTGGATAATTTTTTACCTAGGTAAAAAAATTAGAGTACTCTATTTATAGAAATAAAATGTAAAAGTAATCATATCGTATTATAAGTATTAATTTTATATATCTTACTTATAGTATTGTATTATATAGTATCAAAAATAGTCATTAAAATGCATGCATAATTATACCGATCTGTTTTGGGCCGTATTATTGGTACGGTTAATAATGGTGATAGTTTTAATAGGAAAATATTTCCCAATAAATGAAATATTAAATTGATATGATATTAATTTAATTTGAAAATATATAAAATTACAGGTTTTCGTTACATTTTTTCTTTTTGATAATCATTGTCGGTTTTATTTTGGTCTTAGGGTGAATAGATAAATTCTTTTTTATTTTGGTCTTAATGAATCGATAAATTCTTTTTTATTTTGTGAGTAGTTTGTAAATTCATTTTCATATTGATCTTCTTCTGCTATTTCATTGGAATTTTCTATGTTGTAATTATTCTTCAATTTATAGCCCATATTTTCAGATATCACAGTTCCTTTAACAGGAGAGCCAGTGCGATTGACTTGATCCTTATTAATGGAAACAATATCACTATTGCTTTTCCTGGGCGTGTCAAATATATTATCTGTACTATTGGGCCTAATCATTGAATTTACGGAAGATGGTCTTGTAGTGAATGAAGGAGATGACGTATTCAGATGTGGTATATTGATGCTGGAGAAGGATTCCTTTCTTGGATAATAGGATCCAAAATCATTGCTATTTAAATTGCTTATTAAATTTGCTTGACTTGATGGACGAGTGCTATCATTCCCTACTGAATCGTTTGATTCTAAAAGTTCTGTATTTTGTATGACACTATTTTTATCACCGTCAACAAATGGCACCATTTGATCATATACGCTTATAACTCTTTTTGGTGGAGCATTGGAGGAATCTAAGGATACTTTTGAACTATTCGCTCCAAAACCTTGCATTTCAATATTTTGTTGTCCATCGTATCTAACAGATAGAGCGTTTATCTTTCTTCTATAAGCAGGAACAAAGTATTTACTCTTTCTTTGTTCTTTATTATCATTAATAGGTATAGTATTTTCATTTCCATTTTCCTCTATTTTTTTAATTCTTTTATCATCATTATTATCCTCATCGTTATTATTATTATTTCGTAATGTTGGCATACTTTCAAAGTTAATATATGCATCCTCATCGAATACAGCACGTTGTAGATCAGCATCTTGCTCATCTTCTCTTTTGAACCTTCGTTGAAGCCTTAGCCAAAAACAACCAGCAATTATCAATCCAACACCAACTGGGATGCCCACTGCACAACCAACAGCAACTGAATTACTAGCAACCATTTTTTGTATTTTACGTATGGCCACAATTTACCTAGCAATGACTATCTGCTGTAGAATGTTAGGATCTTTAATGCCAAAGTCAGGTTGAATATTTCTTTGTATATTTTTGCAATATTTTATAATGTTAATAATTTTCTCAATCAAAAATATTTAATCCTATGATTTCAAGTAACCAACACAAAGCAATACTTCGTCCAATTCTATTCCTGTTTAAATTCTAATTAAATTCCGTTGACTACTGCCGTATATATATATCACTGAACTTAAAATATGTTTTAATCAATAATTTCCCAATTAATTTTAATATAGAACAATATATTATCTAAAGGAAATGCAAACCTCTGGAATGATTTCCTATAAACTCAATTACTCTATAACAATTTAAAACAATTTACAAAGATCACTGATCTTAGTCTTTTGATCCAAATTTTATCATCTGCATCTCAAATCTTATCTTCCTCTTCAATTCCTCTTGACTAAATTATCAACTCGTTTTTTTCACCTTTTCTTTTGTTTCAGATCAATGCAATTGTCGTTTCACGCTTCTACGAAATTATATCAGAAGACTCATTGAAAGTGTAAAAAAGAAAAGTTCTCTCTGTTACAGGATTTCGAACAATGCAAAGTGAAGAATTTGGTCACATGATATAATTATAATACCCTGTCAATCATTAATTGAGTCTTCTATCTCCATGGGTATGTAGATATCTGAAAAGAAGATTATTGGAAACAACAGTAGTTTTATAACAATAACTCAGTTTAACGAAGTGGGTTATAGCTAGTGAAATATTTTGTTTAACTATTTGGGATCTTGAAGGATTTTTCTGATAATCAATCAGGTCTTTTATTAGATTAAACTAGAATCCTTACAGTTCAGATATGTAAAATATTATTATTCCAGTTTCAAGATATGATCCAAATGGTATGAAAAAAAATTTAGGCGCAAAAATTCCAGATATCTAATCAGATAGAATTATTGGGCTCTTTATATTATTCCTTTCCGTTTTATTAAATGTATCGAGAGTGAAAAGCAGTATCTTCTCTTAGAAACGCACTGTCGAAACAATCAAGGATATTGTTAGTTTCGCTTTCATAGATATATAAAATTATTCGTCTTAGATAAAATAAAATAGATATAGCTGAACATTGTTTATCACCTTTTTATTGATGATTTTCTGGAAGGTAAGGGAATATTTTCTGGTAAGTAGATAATATCGGAAAGATATTGCCCCAATGAAGAGCATTTTCTGTCATACAAAAATAAATAAAAATATTGTTAACACCTAAATTATACAAGCATTTTTTTTTCCTTTTCCAGTCAGTTATACAGTTAATAATGGAATATTCATTCATCGAAAATAAATCGAACTGAGTTATCATGTTTATATCCTGGTTATCGTTGGTCATATTAGATGAAGCTTAATTATATAGAATTTCTAGATAATAAGCTTAGAGTTTTCAATGTCAAAGTTTTTTAGAATATGATTGAATTAAATAAATATATTATAATTATAGCTTTATATGGTGAATCTTTAATGTAGGAAATACGTAGGGTTCCGTTTTATTGTTATCATTATTTTGAGGTAGTTACGTAATAATGCGAATTAAAAATGTTATATTGACAATACTATTAAAAAAGATTATATTGATGGTTTTGTCCAATTCAAATATACATTTTATGTAGAACGTGTCATCTTCTTGAAATACTTGTAAAACAAAAATCCCAGAAAAGATAGTTAGAAGATATTACAATGTGTTGAGGTAACTATTATTTTTCGAGTAGATAGATACGTGTTAAATATGTTGTAATTTAGTTCTTGTTATGATAATTGGATACTAACTTCTATTTTTGCATTACTATTTTAAATTTTGAAGTTGATTTTTATTCAATTCATACATACTGTTTACATTCAAAATTATGGGATCTTAAATAAAGTTTTAACAACCTTATTAATACAAAAGCATATTTATTGCACGATAGTAGTATACAATTATCTTTAATATAGATTATCCAAATTTTAAATTTATGGCTTTGTATTTGACAGCTATATGATATTATTTGTCAGAATATGGTTAGTTTTAGAAGCATAGCTATCACAGTTAGCTCAGATGCCACAGTTGTCATCCAATTAGAGTAATTAGATGAAGTATTCAATTTATGTAAAGGAATAGATTTATATCTTAAGTAAACCATTCCTGTCCTCTAGTTAATCATTCTACAGTTGTAGAAAATAGAATCAAGGGTTGGCTTCCCAATAATATAGTCTATAATAAGGGATCAACAAATGAATAATAATAATACTTTCTCGGTGTGGAATCTGCGTCAACATTAAATACTAAAATAGAGCTAGTGCAATCCATTTCTTTGGGGGGATTTTCCGAACTATGAAATTTCTTTTCAACTTTAGAAATGTGTCCAAAAAAGTTGAATTAAAAGTGACGTAATCAATATTGTTTTTCAATAAATTAATGTAGAACAAATTTTGGGGTACTGATTTCTTATTCTTATTGCTTAATTCTTTTATTAATTTTCTACACTATCCTAATTATGCCCCCTTTCTTATTAGTTTTACTGTAAAAGCAGAATGAACTTTATAGCAAAGCAAAAAGCTTGGCATGGATTTTTTTAACTGAAATCTTTTTTTCTTTTTTTTATTACGAAACATCTAAAAAGAGTCAAAACAAGAAAAGAGGTATATTGTATAAAAATGTCTAATAACAAAGAGGAAAATAGACGTATGTCTCTCAGTTCTCTTTTCCCCATATATACATTTGTAGTTAGAAAAGATCAATTATCTCTTGTGTATAAGAAAGTCGAGTAATACTTATGTGTTATTTAAATTACTTCTTGATTTATATTGATCCAATTAATAAATTAAGTATTTAAGTATTGGAAAATGTTTACGAAGAGGGAAATGTATTATGTTTCCTTACTGATTGTAATATTCAGAACGATGGTGACTTATAACGCAGTAAGAGAATCAGCTATATTACTTGAATTAGGTTAAAAAAAAGGACACCTTTTCGTAAAACTAGATTGAGCTTAAAAATAAAAATTTAGAAATCGGTCCATTTTAGTTTAAACATGAATTTAATAGGCAGTAAGCAAATAATGACATATATGCATTTCCTTTTCTAGCACACTTAGGAACAAGGCCATCTGCTGTCATTTAGATCTAAATTATTGAGAGTAAGAGATTAATCTTCATAGATATGTATATTTTATTTTATATATAAAAACAGCCGAATCATCAAATAGACTGATAATTCTTTCCGTGTTTCTGTATTCTTTTTAGCGCCAAAAAATAAAAAAGTAATAAACCAAGCTTTAATATCCACTTAATACGCTTCAGAATTGATAGTATAAATATACACAAGTTAAAACTATTCTTTGAATAAATAAATAGTTTTCGGGAAATTGATTCTGATACCCAACAAGTAAGAAGAATAGGTTTGAAGATTTTAAGACATTCGAAATAAAAATGAATAATATTTTAACTTCGATATATCTCTTAATCTTTTTGAAATTCTGTGCGTGCACAGGAAATTATCCAAATGGATGTACTTTGGACTCTAGATGGAATACCTTAAACTGTTTTACAACAACTCCGTGGGCAAACAAATTCACAAGTACGAAGAATGCACCACTCAGTTATTGGACAGACCCAACAGGAGGAAGAGTTAAATGTTACGGGCATACCATTTACACTCCAACTACATGCACTGCGTCTATTACTTACCCAAGCGGATGTACTATGGACACTAAATGTGGTACGACCTTAAAATGTTACACAACAACTGCGTGTAAAGAAAAGTACACACATACTAAGTGTGCTTCCTGCAATTATTGGACAAACCCATGTGGAACCAAAATTAGAAGCTGCTTGCAGACAGTTTGTACTCCAACCACATGCACTGTTTCTCCTACATATCCAAGTGGATGTACTTTGGACACTAAATATAACACCTTAAAATGTTATACCACAACTGCGTGTAAAGAAAAGTACACGCATACTAAATGTGCTTACTGTAATTATTGGACAGGTCCATGTGGAACCAAAACTAAAAGTTGCTTGCAGACAGTTTGTACACCATCTAATACAGTAACGCCAATTCATACTACTAGTACGAGCACTACCTTTTGGACTGGTTCCTATGATACTACTTTCTCTACGAAAACTACAACTGTGACTGGTACAGACAACTTAATTACTACAGAGACAATTTATATCGTAGAAACTCCAATTAGAGCAACATCAACAACTACAACTGATTACTGGACAGAACCCTTCTTCAGTACTACTGCCATAGAAACTACAACTTTCACTGGTACAGATTACTACGAGACGACCGAAACTATTTTCCAAGTTTTCGTTCCAATTCTTGAAACAACGACTACCATTTATACTGACTTCCCTGATGGGGGGATTTATAATATGGAAAACCCTACTTATTCAACAGAAATGATCATAACAACCAATGAAGATGGTGCCCCACGCGCGGTATACATATATTATGTGTATTCTAATGGTAAATTAAAAGCCTTCAATGGAGAAGACACTCATAATTACCGCAACTCAACTGAAAATATTGACACAAACACTGGTGACAGTATCATTTTTTAAAAAAGATTGCCCTCTTCTGATACCTCCAAGAATATTTTTTTTGAACCATTAATTATTTTCTTTTTATACTTTTGAATGTTATGTTGTCAAACATTCAAGTAAAAATATTCTTCGTTCTTTAAAAACAATTATATTTAAAAGTAATTATTTAGTAATAGATAATATTTTTTAAAGCACTTTAATTTTTCCTATGAATATGTATGTTCTGTATTACTAATTTTCGAAGACAATTGGATTACAATTAATTACATAGTAATGGGTATAGAAATAAAACAGCAAAAGAGATAATAATAAGCAATAATTTAGGTTTTCCGATTCTGTCAAGGAAAAATAAATTTGTCTCTTTTTTGAACTTCTTTGCCCCCGGTAAGAAATACATTTTACAATAAGAGAATTTTTAAGGACGTTGGCTTTCAAAATTTCATAAGTAGCACATTTTAATTGATTCTAATTTAACTATTTTTTGAGAGTGTCAATTGCAATTAAGATATTACTAGAAGTGGGTTTCTCTTTTAAAAAAGAACTCCAAGTTTTAGAAATATTAAAAAATAAAACAGTATTTAATAATCAATAATTAAGCAAAATAACTAATTCTACTTTATGAAGAAAATGCTGTGATAAATTATTAAGAATATTAAAATCTGAGAAACATCCTACCATTTCTGTTCAAATCAGAGGCAAATCAGAGAAATGCGTTTTTATAAAAGATACAGACCCTTTAATGATAAATTTAGAACATATATATGTATAAAATTTCTGTCTTAACATTTGGATAACTATTTCTAAATTTTCTTACTTGAACTATTAAAAGAGGATACGTTTACAATTTGGCAAAATATTTAGTGTTTACAGAAATTCAGTATCAATATACGTTTTATTCGTAAACTGAAGTCTAAATTATATTTTAATTTGAACTTACTTGTCTAGAATCACTTTCAAAGAAAATTTGGCAAAAAGAAACAAGATAAACCAAATGAGAAATATTTAATGGAACTTCGTTCATTTTATTTTTTGTTTTTGTCAATGTAAGCTTCAGAACCTCAAAATTAGAGATTTATTTATGCAAAGAAATCATAATTTGCAAATTCTTGCACGACTCTTCATGAGTTCGCAAATAAATTAAGGTGATTTATTTCTGTTGAACTACCATAGTTCAACATACTTTAATATTTAACAACAACAATTCAATATTAGGTAGGTATAACCCGAGTAAAGGTGATAAATAATTTGGGGCATTACCTTTATAAGAAAATATCAACGATAACAGCAATAATGATGCAAATTTAAAAATATATTCTAATCAACTTTCTAAAAGAGAAAACAACAGGTTGTCGTATCTGTCGTCATTTTAAATCAATAATTTTTTGGAAAATCTAAAAGAATGGAAATTTTATATTCTATCTCTCTATGTGTTGTTTGTTTAAAAGTCGGAAAAATTACATAAGTTTGGTTTACCATTAGAAAACTTCTTTATTTTGCACACGATTATAACTGTACTTAGATACCCTCTTAAGAGATAGTTTGACATCCTATTTAATATAGAAAAGACACTATCTGACCAATCATTCAACACATTTAAAGCTAGATGTATGAAGAAGAGATAAAATAAAAGTTGATATTAAACTTTAAAATTTTATTAAATTACAAATGATATATAGTTTAATTTTACATTTTACTTGTTTCTGTTCTATATGTAAATAGAAATTGATAAATATAAATAAATGGAGGAAACGTTGTAGACTGAGATATATTAGAACTAATTAACAATCGAAACCGTAGATATTATACACCTACAAAAGTATACAACTATTTTACTAATGATTTTGGTAATATTAAAAAACAGTATGACAAATCATCGATTAAAGTTTTTTAATTTTTGTTATCTATCAATTATAAGTCATCAGAATATACTCAATCCAGAATTCCAAATATATGTTTAAACTATCAAACTCTTCAATATTTCATTAAAAATATTTATTTTTTGTATTCTTTAATTTAATTATCTATTGAAGAATAATTATAGATTCAGTTTCAGAATTTATAATTTAAGTTGAAGGGAATAGTATGATCTTTCTAAAAACCAAATTCTCATCCCTCCAATTGATTAAAAAAATGATAAAATCCCGACTACATATCAATTGGAAAGCTTTCATAACCATATTTATGTTTATTAAAATAAAATTACGTTCAACTATTACTATGAAAAGCTGTATTATGATAAAACATTTCATAGGAGGTAATTATATCTAGCTCCCCATGGAAACTGGAGAAAATAATGTATACATACTGGACCGGATCATACACTTCAATTAGATCAATTATCACAACTTGTGTCAGAAAATATAAGGAAGTGACTATTGAAACAATATATATTATCGAAACATTTACCAATGGTCTATCATCTACTCCATATACCTACTCGACTGGTAGCAACACTTCTATTTTCCCTACGATCATTAAGATATTCACAAGTAGTTAGTTGTGGGGAGGAAATCACCGAAACAATTTATGTTGTGGAAACCCCAATAATATTATCGTCAAAAACTGAATTAAAATCTTCTGAAAGATTAATAAAATCTTTGAAGGATTATCAGAATCCTTGAAAGAAAGCAGTACTATTACCACTGGATCAAGTTCTGTTAAAGGAAAAACTATTTTCGAACAAGTGACTGTATCTATGACTTGTTCTGTTAACACCAGCACCAACACTAATACTGAATCTGGAGTTGATAGTTTAAGTTACGCAAGTATTACCGGTAAATTATCTGTTTCTGGTGTTTATAGTTGAGTTACTGCAGTACCTTCCTTGGATGTGAGTAGTTCAGTTAGGGTATCTTCAAATGTTCGATTTTAGAATTCTTTGGTTGAAGTATCATATGGTACTAATCAATTATCCTCAAATAATTATTCAAGTGTATTATTTCTATTGGATTCTGCGAATACAAACACCAATTCTAACACTGGCTCTAAAACAGAATCTGAAGTAGCTAATATAAAAACTGGTGTCAGCAATGACCTAATATAGTAGTTGCATCCATTACATTGTTGGTTAATTTAAATTCCAACAGTTTGACTAGTCAATTTGATATTTCAAGTGATTACCAATCGGCATTTTCCAGTGTATCTATTAGCGAAACAGGATCTACAGGAATTAATAATTTGAAATATGTTAGCGGCAGTTCTTTTGAAGATTGGGAAAATTCTTTGAGTTTCTGGGAAAGGTGGTACAATTTGTGTGCATTGTTTATCTTATGAATACCTGTATGAATAAATTGAAGTGGATCTGATTATTGTTGAAATATGGTTATCATTAGAAGCCAAACCAACATCTAATTAGAATAATTAGATGAAATGTATAAGCTATATAAAGGGATCGTATTCTATCTTAATGAAACTATTCCTATCCTTTGTCTAATCCTTATATAATACTATATTATATAATCAAAGATTAGCTTCCCAAAGATATAGCTTAGAATAATGGATACTCAAATTAAGAATAATCTCGAAACTGCAAATTACTCCTTCTAAGTTTTGAACCTACGTCAACATTTATTTTTACATAAAATGAGTCCTTTTTGAGTTCGTTATTTTATTAAATTAATTTTACTTCAATTTAAGTATATAGTTATTTTCTTATTATATCATTATTTTTTTTCTGTTTATATGGATGATCAACGATTTTTTTTTTTGATAAATATATTTTAAATTTATTATACCGGTCAAAGAGACTTCTATTGTGTATTAAGAGATTATGTTATGATATGCTTTTTGAAAGAAAATATTTATATATTGGAAGGAAGAGTTTACTCAAAGATCGAAAACTAGCTGAGAATTCATAAAATAAGTTACAAAGAGAAATTATTATGGTTTGTTAAATCGAAAAGAACCATAAATCATACTTTTGTTGTTTGTGTGAGCGCAGGTTCAAAACTAACAGGATGTATGTATCCATAGATGAAGGAAAATAAGTTGGGTTAGACTGTGTGTCAGAGTAAGATATAATTAGTATAATGTGAACGATGATTGATTACACTGATTATAAGGTATAAATAAAACTATAAATTAACAAGAGGTAAAATTGTTACTCTTATATAATTATATAAAAATTAATTAAAGGGTAGGAATAGTTTTAATAAGATAGAAACAATCCCTTTATATAACTTACAGATTCTATCTAATTGCATTAATTAGATTCTGGTTTGCATCCATTGATTCCCAGAATCCTACATACTGGGCAGAGAGTTTGCCAGATATATTTTATATAACCGGTTTGATCATGAATCCTTTGACATTTGCTCTAAACTTTAATAGCTGCCGGAACTAAATCTTTATATTTTTCATTTGTTACAATTATAATACTAGAAATAAGTGTTTCACCACCGTTGGGAATTATAAATATAATTAATTATGTTGGAATATGGTTAGCATAAGAAGCATAGCCACCACTCGAGATTGCTCAGCCTTCATCTAATTTAAGTAATTAGATGAAACACTGAGTTATATAAAGGGATAGGTTTCTATCTTAATGAAATTATTCCTGATCTTTATCTAATCTTTGTATAATACTATATAATATAATCAAGGATTAGCTTCCCAAAGATATAGTCTAACAATGGATCAACACTTAAACAATAATAACTTTGAAACTACCAACAGTACTTTCTCAGTTTGGAATCGGCGTCAACAAATTAGGCATGAATCTGTTTTAAACTTCATTTCTTAGGACATTTAAAATATTATAGTTAAAAACTTGATTTTGAATTTGTAATGCAACATACATATAACCCCATATATTATTACCTGTTTTGGCATACGATTCTTGATTAGTATATTCTAAATAGTATAATAATCACTATTATTCTATTTTAGGTTTTGCCAATATGGTGAATTTCCATGTTATAAATAAATACCAAAAATCGAAAAACGAACCAATAATCATAAATACCTTTAATTAAATGCACAATATACAGGTATCCGGTTTAAACACCCAATTGTTTAGTCATAAAGTCGTGATAGTCTTACACCTTAAAAAGAAATTAAATAGATGGCACAGCTGCTTATTGAAATAAAACTCTATAGATTATATGGCTGAAATAAAAAAGCATTATTAGCAATCGATGGAGAGAAACTAAAACAAAAGATATGCTTCATTTTTATTGGTGCTAATAAAAATGAATAGTAACTATCTATTTCAAATTATAGTAAATTATTCTATATAAAATACTTACCTTGTACATTAGAAGAAGTATATCAAACTTCTTTAATAATATGTATATATATTAAACTGTAGTAGTTGTTGACGCAGATTCTAAACTGAGAAAGTGCTGTTGGCAGTTTCAAAGCTATTATTGTTTAAGTGTTGATCCATTGTTAGACTATATCTTTGGGAAGCTAATCCTTGATTATATTATATAGTATTATACAAAGATTAGATAAAGATCAGGAATAGTTTCATTAAGATAGAAACCTATCCCTTTATATAACTCAGTGTTTCATCTAATTTCCTAATTAGATGATAACTGTGGTGTCTGAGCTAACTGTGGTGGCTCACATACCTGTGGTGGCTCACACAACTGTGGTGACTATGCTTCTTATGCTAACCATATTCCAACATTAGTAACCCAAATCCAAATATTACCTTTTCTAATCAGAATAGTGGTCCAGTCTATAACATGACATATCATGACTTGGATCTTGATTTTTATAATAGTTCCAGTCCTTATTATAAGGGAGATGGATATAAATCAGATTCACAAATAGTTGAATGGGATCAAGTATTTCTTCATTATCGTTTTACAGAATCTCATGATTTTGACATTGATCAATCCATTGAAAATATTGCACATAATTTTAACTATAAGAAAAATATTACCGGTGAGCCAGCATTTCCTATTACGTTTGTGGGTTCCTGGAGTAGTGCATTAACTGATTGCACACCTTGGATACATGGTATTGGTTATGCATCATGGTATAATGACACATACGATGAAAATACAAATTATGAAGTCAAAAATGAATACAATGATACTGACTATGAAAACTATGAAAACTATACTTGTATTTCTCAAAATCCAATTGAGGAATGGCCTGAAGAATACAAAATTCAAGTCAGAAAGTTTATTGAAACTCAGTTATCACATTTCAGTACTTATACTAAGGGATGGTTCTTCTGGAACTGGAAACCTGAAAGTGCACCAGAATGTGATTATCAGAAGTTAAGGGAACACGTTTTATTTCCACATCCATTCGATAATTTAACATAGTATGAAGCGAATGGTGATTTGAAGTTGCCTAGGTCTGAGAATGACATTTCCATACCCTCTACTGAAACGCCGCTTGTTACCTCCTCGAGCAATCGTAGTAGTATTGTAAGTTCAGACAGGGCCACTACTTCCAAACCATCAAGCAGGAGTGAGAGTTCAAGTCTTTCCATGCATGATGGTAAAACCAGCTCAATCAGCTCCACACTTTCCAAAAGCACAGTTGCTTCTCACAAGAATCGGTCGTATGCCATTAAGAGTCCTAGTATTTCAACTTCAATCTTTGCCTGGAGTTTAACTCCAATGTGCTTTACTTGCGGTATTGCGTTGCTTGTTTAAATTATCAGAGTATTGGCCCAACTTTGCACTATTATATACTTTTATGTATAAGATACCAATGAACTTGTATTATTACCACAATTTCAAGCCAGTAGGAATAGCGACAAAAGATTGGGGGACACAGCTGGACATGGTTAAGTTGGAGTAACATATATATACCATCCCATGTTATAAGTAAATTTATAACAAACTTATTATAAGTGGCAACAGTGTTAACCCAGAAGGATATGAGGATATGATTTTGATTATCACTCCTATTTTTGGCTTAATTAGGATTGAGTAACAGAAATAGAACATAATATATATATATATATATATATATATAAATTATCGTTCAGATGCTATTGGTTTCAACTCAATTTAATATTTACTTATTATAAAATTGCATCTCTTACAGATACAATCTCATTACAACATCACATTTATACCAAACATGGTCATATTACATCATGGTTTTGTGTAATTTGCTATACTATTAATGATGTATCAATTTGCATTCTCACCTGGAATTTTGCAAATGTGTCATTGCATAATAGAAATGGGGGTGAACTATGTGTAGTTTAAAGTATATTTTATATAGTGTATATTTTTGATAGACATATTACCATAAACATATTTCAGTTTACTCTTCGACTGTATAAGCTAATTCGTGTATTTGAGATGAAATATTGAGATAGAAAGAAATGACCATTTGGCCAGGTAACAGAAGATAAGAGGGAGGATGAGAGGACGGAGAAATATTAAGAAGCGGCCCATATTATATTTATGATTGAGTTCTGAAATTATATGTACAATTTTTCAAGTGAATTCTTTGTGGCAGAAATATACACATTGGCAGCAGGATCCTGGATTCTAGGAAGACATTGGATTGTTATTGAAGATTTAGTATTCGAGAGAAATATATACCCTTTGATAAGTTGAAGTGTAAGTATTTGATGCATATTGAACAGTTCCAAGTTATTAGATTAAGTGTGTGTTAACATATATAAATGTTATAATTACTTCCATACGATTTTTTTGTTTTAGAAAAATGTCGAAAACCTGAATTCGAGTTGTATCACCAATGAGATATTATTGCAAGCTGAGAGAATTGATTTAAAGTATATTAATGTATTGCATAGCAGCCAAATGGTTTTTCTTTATAATCGAATTGACAGTTTAAATTAAATGGATAAAGTTGAATTTACTTCCTTCCCAAATTAGTGTTGAAGTAATATTCGTATTATATTTCAGATTTGAAATATTTATTTTACCTTACCACAATTGATTAAAATATTATGCTAATTTGCCTAATATTAATGTTAGTGATTTATTTCGGTATCAATCAGTCGGTGCATTGAAATATAAGTATGCTTTAAAGTTCTATTTTATAAAATTATTCCTTTTTTGGATGGAAGTGGTAGTAGAATTGGAATTGGAAAGAAGAATAATTATAACTAAAAATGTTGAATGACCGAATATAAATGCTGGAGGGAGAGGTTGGTAGTGAAGATAAGATTGATAAATGTCACATTGTATTATAATCTAGGTGGAGCTCTAATATGTATGGATTATTTGGTTATGAATATTCCGTGTAGTATATTAGACTATATAGTAATATATGGTGATAAGATGACGGATATTACAATAATGGATTTGATTGGGGGATACCAGTTCTTCGAAAAAACAGAAATATCAACTTGTGAGTCCAATGTTTTTCATCAAGCTAATATATTGGTCAGTCAAATAAATAAAATGAACATGGAAAATAAAACCTATTTCTTTGTTATAGACAATAAATATTAAACGATTATGTAATAGATCTATATAATGATTATTAATAATACGAATATTAAACATATGAAAGTGAAATAACCAATAAACTTATTTCAAGAACCAATCACTCGTTAGAACGTATACCATTAGCTGGTATTGATTTTTGT